GGTTAGTGACCCTGTTTAGCCAATGGTTCGATTCCCATTCAGGACAAATTACTGTGAGCGCCATCATTTGTTGTGTCTGAATGTAATTTATCTATAATATGTATGTACCCAAACCTCCTTTCTAAGCAGAGGCCTATGTCCAGCAGTGGACTAGTAAAGGCTGTGGATGATGGACGATGTATGTATTTAGAAATATATCAGTATGTCTATCAGGTTACCATAGTGACTAGTTTGAGATCAGACGGGTTATTACTGAGCGTAGATATCTCAGGAATAGAGCAGAGATTTAGAATCAAAATGTGGATGCTTTAGATATAGAAAAGACTAAAGGAGGGTAATCGAAGAAAGAGGGGTTAATGACCTTTTATAGTTGTGAATGAGGAGTTGAAAGGGCGTCACTGTCATCACAATTAAATAAACATTTTACTCATGAACTTGAAGTCCAAATGTTGAAATTCAAACAGGACCATAATATTATCTTATATTTCCAACAAAAGTTTAGTGAAACTAAATATTGTAGGACGTGTGTGTAGTACAAGCGCCATATGACAGGTGGCGGGTGCAGATGTGTGGGGTCAAGGACTCCGGGGTTCGATGATCGGGCAGACACATTTTTATACTAGTACTTATTGCCAGGAAAGTTCTACTCGTTAGTAGACCGGATTTTAGATGGGTTGATTTTATTCATGTTTGACGAGTCCATACATGAATAACGTTCAATATTTTTGAGATAATATGCAATTATTGATTAATATTATATAATAACGTTCCGATTGATTTATATTATACATGTCAAGTATAAAGCCCAGATACTTGAGGCGAGAACTACATACATCGAAAATGTACATCACCGCCATCTAGGCAAAAGTAAATCAAACCGTGTAGTAAATTTCGATGCTGTATCGCACAAGGAAATTTTTGATTAACATAATATCTACAACTCTACCAACGTTCATGTTCAATATAGTTATATTCATATCTTGCATAAAACTATCCTAATTAAAGTATTGCTTCTTATGAAATATTCTGCATTCTAAACTTACACCTGTTTACACCTTCTACGATAAAAAGCGTGAGTGTATGAATGTATGTTTAAAAATTCCATCTCCTATGAAATTATTCGATGCTTTATGTAAGTTAGACGCTTTTTCTACACCACTCAAGTAGCAAAAAAGACAATTTAAGCTCAAAAGTATTGAGCTGCAAAATCTCATTCCGCGTATGACCGAATTAATTGCTTATTCTCTCAAAAAAAAAATTCGCTTGAAACTGGTGTCGTGACACCAACAAAAGGATGTGCCACGGTGTCGGATGTCCTCCACGGTGGCCGGCCACCCATGACGTGGGAGAGGGTTGGTGGCGATAAAAAGGTTATGTGGGTATACTGATGATGAGAGGGTTACTTGTGTGAGCTTTTTTATGTCGCCATCGTTTGTTTTCTAAAGAGTTTTAATCAGCCTGTATCGTGTTCCATATATGAATGCATATTTGCTAAATGAAACAAAGAATCTGCATTTTTATGTTTTCAATAGCCAGTATGTTACTATAATTATAAATACGACATACTTAAATAGGCATATGTTGCTTGTACTGTATAAAAAAGAAAAAAAATACAGTCTGTTAGCAGTCTGATTTGAAATTTGACATCAACAATCCAAATGAGTACTTCAATATTCTTAAGGACATGTTACACAATGGTGTTTAAACTTGAAAACTAGGAACAGCTCGTACCGTAGGTCCTAGAACAGTGTAGGTGAAAGAAACCTCCTCCTCCTCTGTAGGTAGGAAGGTGAAACGTAGGACCTTTTTTTTCTCCTCCTAGAAAATCATTGTTAAGCGATTATTTCGTTGGTTTTTACCAAGTAAGTTTAACGCAGAACCAACACTCTAATTCTGGGGGGAGAGCCCAAAAGGGGACAATGTAGTTCTAGTGCCTATGGGCGGCGGTGTTCATTCACCAGTTAGTAACCCGTCCATTCGTTTGGCCATTTTTTAAAGTAAAACTTCTTTGCTTGGGGAGTATGCTGGTGAATGCGTGACGAGAGCGTTACGAAAGGTGTGATCGGCCGAGGCGAACGGGAGTTGTGATTGAGATATAAGTTAGTGAAGATAGAAAGAGAGAGAGAGTTACGTTTCTCGAGTTTAGTGTAAAGGCAAGAGAGAGAGATGCGAGCTCACATTTTATTTCTCTCTTTCTCTCATAGCCAAGAAGTTTTACTTCAGTCGTGTGGTCTAAATCTGAACCCCTCCAGTGTGGGAACCCCCGTGTCCCCTTTGTCCTCCCGAGAGGACGCACGCGTTCCGCAGCGCGTCTCGCCACCATCCCGGCCTGCTTCTGCTAGGGTGACAGATGGCCTGACCTGCCACCCCTAGGCCTGCGCGATTATGGAGGACGGAGGTCATTCTGCGACCTCCGGCGCCTGAGTCGTCTCGTTCGTTTGCCCCTATAACAGCAAAAACACAGTGTACGAAATGTACAACTTTGCAAACATACAATATTACACTAGTACTCTTAAGGCTAGTTCAATGCGATTTTTATGGATAGATAGATACATAGAAAACTCTCTATTTGAATACCGTTTTACAAATAGTGTGGTCATCATCATCAGCCTATCGCAGTCCACTGCTGGGCATAGGCCTCTCCCATTGCACGCCATTTAGATCGATTTTGGGGTTGTCGCATCCAGCTCCTGCCAGCCATCTTGCGCAAATCGTCGCTCCACCTGACTTGTGGGCGTCCTACACTACAATACCCTACTTTATGAATAATAAAGTAGGGTATCAAGTTTTATGGATTTCATACAAGTACACACAGTCCCGAGATGTGTTATCGTGTGACATTTTTGTGAAGCCAGTTTAAGGAATGTGACATTTGGTCAATGATGTCACATTCTTTAAGAAAAAAAAAACTGTGCCAGTGTTCGGAAACCCTTTCAATTTTAACACGCATCTGATCAGCTGTTATTGTTTACTTTTGTGTACAGAGATGTATTCTTTGATTACATACACCTGTTCTAACTGCGTTGTTGATCACATGTGGGCCCTAGTGTGAGTTTACTTCACATCAACTTGCTTTTAAGGCAAGCGCGTACGGCGTTGCGATTAGTGAAGATTTCAGTGCCGGCCAATCGCAAAGCCATCGTGAAGATGGAGTAGATTGAAATAAACTTATACCAGGCGCTCAGACTACGTGCTGCTTCTCTTGATTTTGTCATCTCGGAACTGCTCTGATGATGAAGCTAGAAGGTGGAGAATGAAACTCTCATAATTACTAGTAAACCCCTCTTTTTTTTGGTGACGGTGGGGGAAAATCCGTTCGGATCTTCGGCTCCTAGGGGCCACAGGAGCCAGAGTATATAGTGTTTCCACTAAAAACCACCACGATGGCCGGTCTCAGTCGCCCTACTCTGGGAAGGACTCGGACCCGAACTAGTAAGCCCCTCTAGTTTAGGCTCATATGATTTCTCTTGTCAAGTTTTACAGAAAATAGCGATGATTACTTTACTTCATGTGGAAGTAAAGAAATGAATAGTTAATATCTCTTTTACTTTTTAAGTCGGTTTAAAAACATTTCTTTTAATTTCACCAAAACTGCTAAATATTCGTAAATAATATAAATAATATCCGTATGGTGACGGATTAAGAATACAGAGTGTCACCACCTCTATTCATCCTGTGGGTGTCGTAAGAGCCGACTAAGGGAGAAAACTACGCAGAACAACAGCACTGCAGAGGGAAGGAAAACTTGACACAAACCCCATACTAACCCGTCTCGCCAGCGTGGTATAGTAGGCTATAACCTCCTTTCTAAGGACCGGCCGGTGTCCAGCAGTGGACTGTTATGGACTGTTGATGATGTGACTAAATATTCTATATTACATACACACATTTTATAATTAAAGGTCCTCACAGAGCTAAATTATCATTTATTAATTTCACATGTCGTGTGTGAAATGCTCCTGAATCATTCGATTTCTTTTATCTATTATATGTAATATAATGACTTAAATATATAGAATGATAGATGTCAAGAAATGTGACAATATGCGCATGCGCACCCTTTCACCGATTACAAAAGTTTTTACCTGCTCTATTGTAACGAATTCGATTCTCGGTCGAAGAAATTTCACCGACGGTTCCCATGAGCCTTGCAAGGTGCTAAATGTATTTCTATAGCAGCATACGTCCCTGTTAATTATTTTTTTCCAAAATTCGGCAAGATTAGTCGGTTTTGTGGTCAGATGTTCGTATACTTGTCGGGTGGTCGGTTGTAATCGATTATAAAAATGTATTCGTGTATGAAATTATTTGTTACCATTTTTTTAGTGGAGGAAATTGTTTTGTTGTTTTTATCTGTGCGATGAGATTTGTGTATTTGATTTAAGTCAGAGATCGCCCTGCGGACGGTTCGATCGATTTCTTTGGTTTTAATTGTCTTGTTTCATTTCATGGGTAGTATAAATTGACCTGCCTTTGTATAGAATGTTGTACCACAAGAGGTCAAAATATATATTGGGCTGGACAAAATATATATTATGTTATTTTGAATTGTTTACCACATGTTGTTTCAAAATGATAGTTTTCTGCAATTCTAACAAAGCGATATAATAACTACAAATCGAACTCTTTTTAAACATTTTACAATTTACAGATGAAAAACAATTTCTAACCCATAGAGATAAACAGTTACTTAAATTATCCATTATATATAAAAATGGCCGCACGCTACTACAACTTTGTCGCCTTATTTCTGAGCCCAATCTAACCGTATTCTTTTTATTTAGTTTTCATAGAAATTCAAAATAAACACGCAACAACAAACAAACAAAGGAACAATACCTAAAAAAAATATTTATTTATTCAAGTGCAATATAAAACTGAGAGTAAATAGTGTAAATATAAACATTGTGTATGTATGTCGCTCACAAAAATAGTTAATAAACTAAGTTATGCGTCTATCCGGCAAAAAGTTCAAATTCAAATGACTCGGTGACGACAAAATGGCGATCAGGCATGATATCAGCATCATGGATAGCAATTTCTTACCGGCTGACCCGCCGCCGATAACGGAAGTGTCGTACCAACCAAAGACTGACTTAGCAACCGAGTACTTCAATACGTTTAATCAGATATGTGAAAATTACCGACCGGAGTCCGATGTGAACCTTCGCCAAACTTCGGATAGTCTTCGGCTCTCGTCGGAAATCCTCGACGGTGTTCGCTCTGAGTATATAAACACAGACTTTACCGGCAAAGACTATGACTATAGTGCGGAAAAAGTGTTTTTGAGTGGCAAGGACGAACATATCTTTCAATTTGGACAGCCTGACGCTTCGGCGTTACTCAGGCACAGAGCGAGAAGAAGATATAACGAAGAGCATGGGCTGCAACCGCCTGCTACGACAAGTCAGGAGAGTGGGGTAAGTTGGTCTTGATAGAACATTGAATAAACACAATTTATTAGAATTTCAGTTGCCCGCTAAAGCTTATTACATCTCTTTAGGAACCTTTCCGAAACTCGCCGACAATTATTTTTATTCCCACTTATATACATACCTAGCTACCTATTTAATATTTCCTAATTTCGTGCTTTTTTTTAAATGACGAAACCTTTTTCATCCCTTATTTTACCTCCTTAGGAGTGAAAGTTCCAAAAGTCCTTTGTTAGTGGCTAGTGATACAAATTAAAAAGCATCTGCTGACAAAATTTCAAGTTTGTAGCCCCAGTGCTTTAGGCGTTGATTAATTAGTCGGTTAGGACAACTAATGTTATGTATGTAGAAAAGAAGCAAGCTTATTGAAAAAAACTGGAAAGACATATTTCTAAATACATACATATTATGGATGACCAGACATAGAACAAATGATCGTGCTCATCACACAATATTTATCCTGTATGAAAGTTCGACTAAAAATAATAGTCAATGAATAAATATTTTGCTGACCCGAATTTGGGTAAAATGGGAATAGGGTAAAAATACAACGGCCAATACAATTGTAGTCTATAAAGTACACCCTTAGTACTGTAACGAGTAAAAAATCTACAGGATTGATGGGCTGATTTCCCTTCCTACCTATCCCCTCCAAGATACAGCCGTAATGCTTATATTTACATTAGTTACACGTGTACTCGCTGTCTGTCACTATTAGATAATCGTTGCCCACGCGTTTTAAATATATCCCGACAATTACACAAGGAGTACCGAGTCCAAGCTTTGTGCTACATATACACAGAATTAGTTCTGTATGACAAGTTATTATTTGAAGCTGGGTTTTTTTAACGATTTGAATTATTGTTTTTAATGTTTTTGTCTCAGAACTCGGTCATTCCTGTTTTGGTTTTTTCTTTTCAAAAGGTAACTCCCGCACTAGGAATATATCCTGTGTCGCGGGGGACTTTACAAACATACATGAAACGGACACAAAGAACACCCAGACTTAGAACAACAATATGTGGATCACACAAAGTGTTGTCCAATGTAGGGATTGAACCCACAAGACTCAGCGCAGTAGGGAGCGGCGAGGTGACCGCTTTAACCACTACGCCATCTGTGCAGTCAATATTTTGATGGCCCCAATTAAAACTGGGAATGAACAGATTTGTAAAATTCTGTTTTCATTTGGCAGGAATTAAGAAATTTCGTCATGATGTAGTAGTAAAAATAATATTTATTTATTGCATTATTTCCTGTTCGTTAGTTTTAGTCGTATAATATCATGGAACGTGAAAACCTATAGTGACAGTGTGAAAGGTTCCTGATATCCATTTGTCTACCCCGTATAATGAGTACGCAATATTTTAGGGTGATCGGTTAAGTCATCATCATCATCATCATCAACAGCCTTTAATAGTCCACTGCTGGACATAAGCCTCTCCTTAAAAAGGAGGTTTTGGCCTACTATACCACGCTGGCCAGACGGGTTGGTATAGGGTTTGTGTCAAGTTTTCCTTCTCTCTGCAGGGCTGTTGTCCTGCGTAGTTTTTTCCATTAGTCGGCTCTTACGACACCCACGGGATGAATAGGGGTGGTGACACTCTGTATTCTTAATACGTCACCACACGGATCGGTTAAGTAGTCAAGTTCTTTTGTTATGAAGTAGAGAGCAAACGAACAGTCGGATCACCTGATGGTAAGTTACTACGACTGCCCATGAACTCTTGCAGCTCAAGAGTTGACTTCTTTTGAGTGCTTTCCCCCAGGAATAGAAGAAGGGACGGAGTTGGGTTTCGGTTACTTCACTCGCTTCACGTGAAAGGCAACGAAGAAACTGATTGCTTAGCACTGATTTTCTGTGTGGCCGCTTTGGACGAGGCAGCTTATATACGCCGAAAAATGGCTGTCCCACGGCTAGTTGTGGTATCGTAACAAATAAACTTGCAAACAAATCCGTGCAGAACCTTTGGTGTTCGAGTCAAACTCGCATTTATTAGTTTTTTTTAACAGAATGGCACTTACCAGCATTTTTTGTCAGTAATTCAATATTCGCCGTCGCCTTTTGACATAGCTTAATGGAGTCTGTTATGTGATATCCCGCCATTTTGTTTTGTTAAAGAATATTACGTTAGATTTGTTCGGGGGTGGTGCGAAAGGAACACAATTATTGTCACGACAAAGGATGTCAAAAACTATACGGAATTGAATTGTGTCCTTCAAGTTTTATCTACACGATACTTTGGATGATCTTATTGTTGGAACATTTATTAATAAAAATAATCAAAGTGGTTCTTTTTTAAATCTGATTAATGTGTTTTTTAACTTGTCCTTGTCAAATGGTTACTGGGTAGATTACTTGATTTGAAATCTGATGTGCTCTATTTTCAACCGATAGGATACAAACGATCTCCCTTTTCTTACAATCCTGGGGGAACGCTAATAGGTCCGGCAACGAACACATTATTCACTAGCTCCGTGTATGTCGGTTCAACGGTTATCGATTCCCCAAGCACCACCTTTTTACCCCCTTAAAGGATAATTGCTGGGATAAAAATCTATCCTATGTCCTTCCATGGGGCTCAAACTATCTCTATACCAAATTTCATCTAGATCGGCTCATCGGTTTAAGCGCGAAGAGGTAACAGACAACCATACAGACAGACACACTTTCGCATTTAAAATATTAGTATGGATGAGTTGCAGCTCATGGTGGACGGCAATAGTCACTTACTATCAGGTGAACTGTCTGCTCGTTTGCTGCTACACCATAAAAAAATGATGAGATATAATGCTCATAAAATAAGAATTGGGAGGATCCTTTATGCAGGTTTGGGTGAGCTTGGCTCACCTCGCCCTAAACTCATTTGTGAGAATTCTCATCGAGCGATACAGGATTATTTAAAATTCGAAGCGGTTCGCGTTCTTTTCCGTTAGATAGTGCTGAACTTATCCGTGTGGTGACGGATTAAGATTACAGAGTGTCACCACGCCTTTCATCCCGTGGGCTTCATAAAAGCCAACTAAGGGAGCAAACTACGCAGGAAAACAGCACTGCAAAGAGAAGAAAAACTTGACACAAACCCTAACCAACTCGTCTGGCCAGCGTGGTATAGTAAACCAAAACCTTCTTTCTAAGGAGAGGTGCCACAGGTATGAAAATGCCATTGACTGCACGGATGGCGTAGTTGTGTGGGCAGTCGCCATGCCGCTTGCTACTACGTTGAGTGTTGTGGGTCCGATCCTCACATGGGACGACACGTGTGATCCACAAATTCTTGTTCTGAGTCTGGGTGTTCTTTGTGTCCGTTTCATGAATGTTTGTAAAGTCCCCCGCGACACAGGAATATATTCCTAACGCGGGAGTTGTCTTTTTAAAAAAAAGAAAAAAAAAACGAATACTTTGGAAAATCCCATGCGAGAAGAATTCTAACAGACATATGTTGATTGGGATTTTATCAAATAGGTAGGATTATCAGAATCCATTTGATGAGTCATGTAAACTGTTATTTAAAGCGCAGTCTACTCTGAATATATTTACAGGCGGGTATGAAAAATGACCTCATAGCTTCGTAATAAATTGTATGCTTTAAGTCATAAGCGGTATTCTTAAAACCACGTAAAAACGTTAAATTAATAGTTTATGGATCATGTATATACAATGTTATTAAAATTGTAGAAATACGGCGACAGCTTTAGGTACTATTTAATAATCCTAAATATCGCTGTAAAAAATCGTCGGTTTTATCCTACTTTGTGTAAATCTACGAGTAAATGCATGTTTTGGAGATACCACAATCAGAATGGAAAGTGCTAAGAGAATTGGTTTCAACGTATGCAAAAGTGCATCGATCATCACGGCGAATATTTTAGGAAGGAATAAAACTGTAATAAATACTATATGTTTGTTTCACTTTGTTTTTCCGGATATTCGGCAATTCACACAGCAATTCCGTTCTCTTTATCACCCTAATCCATTTTATTAAGTAACATAAAAATGTTTATGGTGTGAAAATGAGAAAACACACAATGAATATTCATATAAGAATGACATATTCCAAAATCAAATATAATATTACGTTTTTATATTGTAACATTACTGTTACTTACTAGATTTATATACCAGACTTTATACACGTACAACACGTTGATTGTTGGATCGCTTCCATGTTTAACTGACCATGTCTGATACTGATAATTCCTAAATGGTTTAAAAATATTACACTTCATTTATATTTTTTTATAAACATATCTTTATTACATGTAATAAGGAGGATATTTACTCTCTCTCTTTTTTTGATGTCTTTTAACATCTTTGCTTTTACTTTCCTGCAATCAGTGAAATTCTTGAAAAGGGAAAGGTAGATGAGATAAGAGGCGCTATTTGATTTGACCAGTGAACACACGGTGTAAAAGTTAAATTTATTACATTACTCGTCGGTAGATGGCGCTGTGCCGCCTGGTTAGATCACGCTATGGTTTTGTTACCATAATCAATATAAATTGATTTGTATCGTTCGAACATCCTACGAGTTTAACTATTGTTTATCGTGTTACCTGGTAAGAAATAAAATAAGTTGTTAACAGCTAGTAGTTTCAATTCAAGCTTCTTCTTCAATTCAAGCCATTTTTACAGTAGGTGACATGTCAGGTGTTATAAATTCCATGCGACTGCTGTAAGGTACGCTCTTTTTGTTCCCATTGAATAGTATTTATCCCAAGAAGTGTAATCAAAAACGATTTAGCCAATTGTACTGTGAGAGTTTTCAAGCGTTTCAAAGCCAGCATCTAATGACTTGCACCACCCGAGCCCTGCAGGAACCAACAATGTGGGAACAATGATTTAAATCGCTTGACTCGTACAGATATAATTAATTAGTTTATTTTTATACGCTTTATATGCGGATGCTTTAGCATTCGGTATCGTGTGACTTGGAAGATAAGCCACAGCATCGCTGTACCAATGCGCTTTATCTTAATATTATCTT